GAAGAGTTTAAACAGTCCGTGCAAGTAGCGAGCGAATTACGTGACAGTATTACGTCTAATTTGAAAATCGTGTCTGAGGAGTCTAGTAGGCAGATAAGATGCGCCGTACAAACTCAACAACTTCCGTTAGTGCAGCAGCTGCAGAGTGGTCTTTATGCGCTACAATTGCTGCTTCTAGATCATGCACCCGAACTTCCTCCTGTGATTGGTGATCAAGCACTGCAGCATGTGGCAGAAGTGGCCGCTCAGCTTCACGATGACCTTGCTACATTTGTAGCCGTAGCGCAAGTCGCACAAACAGACATTGCAAATTGTAAAACCAAGCAGGAAATCCGTAAAGACTCGATTATGCTTGAAAATTTGTGTATAATGACAGAACAGGAAGGAAAACCGGCAGTTGTTGATGAAACGACTGCATTTGAAAAAGAAGTAGTACACGAAGAGCAGGCTACAGAAACTGACGTGGAGCCAGTTGCCTCATTGGCCGCCAAAACGGAAAGCCTAGTTATTCTGGAAGCAGAATCACAACTAAAAGATGATGCCAAAGGAACTGAAATTGTCATTTTTGAACAACTTTCTTCTGTGGACACAAAACAAACAAAAGATGAAACTATTTCTGCTGAATGTGTAGCAGTGAGTAAATTGGAAACCATGACGTTGGACTCAGAAATATTAGTACCTACGGAAACGTTTGTAGACACAGAGCAACCAGTTGCAATAAACGGCACAAAGGCCGTAGTCATCGACAATGACAAAGTGGAAAACGTTGGTGTTTTACTAAAAACAGAAGTCACTTTGAATGAAAATGTCAACCTTGAAGCTCCTAATAATGAAGCCGCCACTAATATTGTTAGTGAAGACGAAGTAAAAATATCAGCTAAGTCTGACAAAGTGGTCGAAATTTCAGCGACGATAACTGGTAATTTGTATTACATAACTTATCGCTTTACATTAATTAACTAATGCTAACAAGATGAAATTAATTGTAAATATGAACTAAAAAATTAATTTTGTTAGGAAACGTTCAGGCGCAAGCTGAACAACCTTTTATTGGAAATCCCTTTACTCAGTAACAGAGTATATTCCAAGTACTATACAAACAAATAAATTGTTATATTTATTAATGAATTTGACAGTGACCGTATTACTATACTTTAATTTATATTTATTATTTATTAAGAATCCGTATTGACATTTCCTGTAATTAAATATACTGTAGTATCTACACTTGATATTGTTAGTTTAATTAAATTATTTATTAGTTTCATTAATTATCTTCATTTGTATATGTACACCACTGTGTACTGTGTATGACTTACTATTATATAATTATGTCTCATTATTTTGTAAACTGACGCTCACTTTTCGAAGAGCAGAGTATAAGGTGACATGCAATTGTATTTATATGAAATATGTAATGTTGAGAGAATTAAACTAAACTAAACTAAACAAAACAAATAACGAATGTGCATCTTCAAAACTGTAATTTCTCAATAAAGGCCTACAGTAAACACATGTGCACTTCAGAAATTTGAAATAAATCATTACATTTCCATTGTCATGATAACATTGATTAGATTTTTAAAAACACATGTGCACTTCAGAAATTTGAAATAAATCATTACATTTCCATTGTCATGATAACATTGATTAGATTTTTAAAAAGTACACTATTACAGATACACTTCTACACCATTTTAATGAATATATATCGGATGAATTGGTGTAAGCACTAGATAAGTTATCAGAAGTAGGGAAGACTGAAGAGTTTCAACAGTCAGTACTAATAGCGAACGAGTTATGTGACAGCATTACGTCTAATTTGAAAATCATGGCTGAGGAGTCTAGTAGGCAAATAAGAGGCGCCGTACAAACTGAACCAGTTCCGTTGGCGCAGCAGCTGCAGAGTGGTCTTTATGCGTTACAAATGATATTTCTAGACCATGCACCCGAACTTCCTCCTGTGATTGGTTATCAAGCATTGCAGCGCGTGGCAGAAGTCGCCACTCAGCTTTACGATGACCTTTCTACAGTTGTTGCCGAAGCGCAAGTAGCATTACTACAAACGGGCATTGCAAATTGTAAAACCGAACAAGAAATTCTTAAAGACTCGTTTGAAAATTCGTCTACAATGTCAGGAAGGAGTCAGGAAGGAAAACCAACAGTTCATGAAACAACTAAATTTAAAAAAGAAATGGTACTCGAAAAGCATGCTACAGAAACTGACTTGGAGACAGTTGCTTCATCGTCTGTCAAAACGGAAAACGTGGTTATTCTGGAAGTGGAATCACAACTTAAAGATGGTGTCAAAAAAACTGAAGAAGTCAGTTTTGAACAAGTTGCTTATATAGACAGCGTTGACAATGCTGCTATTGTGGAAATAACACAAACAGATGATGAAACTATTTCCGCTAAAAATGTAGCAGTGAGTAAAGTGGAAACCATGACGTTGGACTCAGATGTAATAATACCTACGGAAACGTTTGTAGCCACAGAACATCATGTTGTAATAGACGACACAAAAGGCGTAATCGTCAACGATGACAAAATGAAAGAAGTTGATGTTTTACTGAAAACTGAAGCTACTTTGGATGACAATGTCAACCTTGAAGTTTCTAATAAGGAAGCAGCCTGTGATGTCATTGGTGTCGATGTACTAAAAGACCCTACAAAATATTTAAAAGCGATCGATGTTTCATCGCCGACAGTTGGTAATTTCATATATATTGTTACATTAACGACTTAATGCCAACAAGATGAAATTGGGGTAAAATTGTAATAATTAATGATTAACAATATCATAGCCAACATAAAGAAGTCGATATTGTTGTGGTTGCAAATAAACAACAAATACGCATTAAGAAAGCTACTAATTTCTTAAGTAAATAATTAAGAAACTTAAACAAATTTCTATATTTCCGTTGTCATAATAAGACTGAATAGATGTAAAAAAACTATTAATTACACTATTACAGATACACTTTTACACCATCTCGAGGAATACATATCGGAAGAATTGGTAGACACTTTAGATAAGTTATCAGAAGTAGGTAAAGCTGAAGAGTTTAAACAGTCAGTGCAAGTAGCGAGCGAGTTACGTGACAGCATTGTAGCTAATTTAAATATTGTGACTGCAGAGCCGAGCAACCAGATAAGCGGCGCTGTAAAAAGCAAGTTCCATTGGTGCAGCAGCTACAGATAGCTCTTTCTGCGTTACAAATACTGGTTTTGGATCATGCACCCGAACTTACTCCTGTGATCAGCGATTGAGCATTGCAGCGTGTGGCAGAGGTCGCCACTCAGCTTCACGATGACCTTTCTACAGTTATTGCCGTAGCGCATGATGCAATACTACAAACAGACATTGCAAATTGTGAATTTGTCCAAGAAATCCACAAAGATTCGTTTATGCTTGAAAATTCGTCTTTAATGACAGGACAGGAAGGAAAACCGGCAGTTGTTCACGAAACAATCACATTTGAAAAAGAAGTAGTACTCGAAGAGCAGGCTACAGAAACTGACGTGGAGCGGATTGCCTTATTGGCTGCTAAAACGGAAGATGTGGTTATTCTGGAAATAGAATTACAACTAAAGAATTATATCAAAGAAACTGGAGATGTCAGTTTTGAACAATTTTTTTATATTGATAGTGCTAACAATGCTGCTATTGTGGAAATGAAACAAACAGAAAACAAAACTATTTCCGCTGAAAGTGTGGCATTGAGTACAGTAGAAACCATGACGTCAGACGTGTTAGTACCTAAGAAAACGTTTGTAGCCACAGAGCAACAAGACATAATACACGACAAAAAAGGCGTAGTGATCGACGATGCTAAAGTGAAAGAAATTGATGTTTTTCTGAAAATAGAAATTACTTTGGATGACAATGTCAACCTTGACGCCTCTAATAAGGATGCAACCGGTGATATCGTTAGTGTCAATGAAGTAAAGAACTCTGCAAAATCTATAAAATTGTTCGATGTTTCATCGCCTGCAACTGGTAATTTGGTATTATATTTATAAGGTATCGTTTTACATTAAGGAACTAATGACAACAAGACAAAATTGGAATAATTAATCATTAATAGTATTACAGGAAAAAAAAGTTAACACTTTTGTGTTACTAAATAAACAACTAATATGCGTCATAAAAGCTATAATTTCCCAATAAATTCCTTACAAATTATCACATATACGTTGCCATAATAAGATCGATTACACTAAAAAAAAATAATTACACTATTACAGATACACTCCTACATCATCTTGAGGAATACATATCGAAAGAATTGGTGGAAGCGTTAGATAAGTTATCCGAAGTAGCGAAGACTGAAGAGTTTAAACAGTCAGTGCAAGTAGCGAGCGAATTACGTGACAGCATTGTAACTAATGTAAATATTGTGGCAGCGAAGCCGAGTGACCAGATAAGCGGCGCTGTAAAAAGTGAACAAGGTCTATTGGTGCAGCAGCTACAGACAGCTCTTTCTGCTTTACGAGTACTGGTTTTGGATCATGCACTGGAACTTACTCCTGTGGTCAGCGAGCGAGCATTGCAACGCGTGGCAGAAGTCGCCACTCAGCTTCACGATAACCTTTCTACAGTTGTTGCCGTAGCGCAAGCCGCACTACTACAAACAGACATTGCAAGTTCTGAAATCGAGCAAGAAATCCGTAAAGACTCATTTATGCTTGAAAATACGTCTATAATGACAGGACAGGAAGGAAAATCGGCAGTTGTTCATAAAACAAGTACATTCGAAAATGAAGTAGTACTCGAGGAGCAGACTGCAAGTACTGACGTGGAACCAGTTGTTTCAATGGGCGCCACAACGAAAAACGTGGTTATTCTGGAAGCGGAATCACACATAAAAGATGATGCCAAAGATACTGGTTTCGTCGGCTTTGAATACGTTGCTTCTTTGGGCAGTGCTGACAATGCTTCTATAACGGACACGAAACAAACAGAGGAAGAAACTATTTTCGCTGAAAGTGTAGCATTAAGTAAAGTGGAAACCATGACGTTGGACTCAGATGTATTAGTATCTACGGAAGCGTTTGTAGTCAAAGAGCAAGAAGTTGCAATAGACGACACAAAGAGCGTAGTCGTCGACGATGACAAAGAAAAAGACGTTGGTGTTTTGCTAAAAACAAAAGCTACTATGGATGATAATGTCAAATTTGAAGCTCCTAATAATGAAGCAGCCAGTAATGTTATTAGTGCGAATGCAGTAAAAGGCTCAATAAAATCTAACAAAGTAGTCGAACTTTCAGCGCCGAGAACTGGTAATTTCATACTATATAAGCTACCATTTTACATTAACCAAGTAAAAGATGAAATTGGGTTAACTGTAATATTCACGATTACTATTGTCACTTAAAATAATGAAGTTCATTATAGGGATACGTTTTTTGTAATATTAAAGTATTATATTACATCGAAAAAGCTACATATATTTAATTTCAAATAAGCACCTGTAGGGCTAGCACAGTAGTACGCGATTTGCGAGAGAGCGAGATAAAGCGCGTGTTGTCTATGCGAGAATAGCAGTATCTCGCGTATGCCGCCCTCGCGCAAGCCGCGCCATGTCGTGCTTGCTCTACAGATTAAAATTCATAAGGAGTCTAAAAAAATTTAAATTGGTATTATGATTTGATTAAAAAAGCTTTAAATACACTTCTTAATACAAAACTCGAACATAAAGAAAAATTCTGTTCTGTTCTGACAGGACTCGAACCTGCGTCTATATGCCAAACTAGGGCTACTGCTCTTCCAACTGAGCTACAGATCGAGTCAGCAGACCTTATGAATTTCTCTAAATGTTTGTCCCAGATCTTTTAAAGCTTCTTAGGAGTAATTTTACTTAACATTCGCATCGTATTAAAACATTATGGTATTCACTTAATGTCAATATTTAATTACACCATTACAGATACACTTTTACACCATCTCGAGGAATACATATCGGATGAATTGGTGGAAGCGTTAGATAAGTTATCGGTAGTAGGGAATACTGAAGAGTTTAAACAGTCAGTGCAAATAGCGAGTGACCTACGCGAGAGCATTGTGTCTAATTTGAAAATCGTGGCTGAAGAGCGTAGTGGCCAGATATTTGGAGTTGTACAAACTGAACAAGTTCCGTTGGTGCAACAACTGCAGCGTGCTCTTTCTGCGTTGCAAGTACTGGTTCTAGATCATGCACCCGAATTTGCTCCTATGATTGGCGATCAAGCATTGCAGCGCGTGACTGAAGTCGCCACTCAGCTTCACGATGACATTTCTACAGTTGTTGCCGAAGTGCAAGTCGCATTACTACAAACGGGCATTGCAAATTGTAAAACCGAACAAAAAATTCTTAAAGACTCGTTTGAAAATTCGTCTACAATGTCAGGAAGGAGTCAGGAAGGAAAACCAACAGTTCATGAAACAATCACGTTTGAAAAAGAAGTAGTACTCGAAGAGCAGGCTACAGAAACTGACGCGAAGCCAATATCCTCATTGGTTGTCAAAACGAAAAACGTGGCTATTCTTGAAGCGGAATCACAACTAAAAGATTATGCCAAAAAAACTGAACACGTTAGTTTTGAAGAAGTTGCTTATATAGATAGTGCTGACAATGCTGCTATTGTGGAAGTAAAACAAACAGAAGACGAAACTATTGAAACTGCTAAAAGTGTAGCAGTGAGTATAGTGGAAACCTTGATATTGGAGTCAGACATATTAGCACCCACAGAAATGTTTGTGGACACAGAGCAACACGTTGCAATAGACGACACAAAAGACATAGTCTTTAGCGATGACAAAACGATGATGAAAACAGAAGTTACTTTGAATGACAATGTCAACCTTAAATCTTCTAATATGGAACCAGCGTGTGATGTTGATGAAATAAAGGACTCTTTAAAATCTGTAAAAGCGATCGATGTTTCTTCGCCGACAACTGGTAATTTCGTATTACATTTTTCATTAACGAACTAATGCCAACAACATATGATTAGGGTTAAATTGTAATAATTGATGATTAACAATATCATTGCCAAAGTAAAGTAGTTGACACCATTGTGGTTCTAAATAGACAAATAATATGCACCATAAAATCTATAAATTCCCAATAAATTCCCACTTCAAACACATGTACTCGTATAGTTAAGAACCTTAAAACAAATTGTTAAGATCGACTAGATTTAAAAAATAATCAGTACACTATTACAGATACACTCCTACACCATCTCGAGGAATATATATCGAAAGAATTGGTGGAAGCGTTAGATAAGTTATCAGAAGTAAGGAAGACTGAAGAGTTTAAACTGTCTGTGCAAATAGCGAGCGAGTTACGTGACAGAATTGTAGCCAATTTGAGTATTGTGACTGCGGAGCCGAGCAACCAGATAAGCGGCGCTGTAAAAAGTGAGCAAAGTCTATTGGTACAGCAGCTACAGATAGCTCTTTCCACGTTACAAGTACTGGTTTTGGATCATGCACCCGAACTTACTCCTGTGGTCAGCGATCGGGTATTGCAGCGCGTGGCAGAAGTCGCCACTCAGCTTCACAACGACCTTTCTACAGTTATTGCTGTAGTGCAAATGGCTCTACCACAAACGGACATTGCAAATTGTGAATCTGTGCAAGAAATCTTTAAAGATTTGTTTATGCTTGAAAATTCGTCTTTAATGACAGGACAGGAAGGAAAACCGGCAGTTGTTCACGAAACGACTACATTTGACAAAGAAGTAGTACTCGAAGAGCAGGCTACGGAAACTGACGTGGAGCGGGTTACCTTATTGGCTGCCAAAACGGAAAATGTGGTTATTCTGGAAGCGGAATCACAACTAAAAGCCGACGCCAAAGAAACTGGAATCGTCAGTTTTGAACAAGTTGCTTCTTTGGATAGTACTGACAGTATTGCTATTGTGGAAATGAAACAAATGGTACACTTAGTACCTACGGAAACGTTTACAGCCATAGAGCAACAACTTGCAGTAGGTGAAACAAAGGGCGTAGTTGTCGACGACGATAAACTGGAGAAGGAAGAAGTTGGTGTTCTTCTGAAAAAAGAAGTCATTTTACAAGAATGTGTAACCCTTGAAGGACATAATAACGAAGCAGCTAGTAATATTATTGGTGAGAATGAAGTAAAAGGCTTAGCACAATCTGACAAAGTGGTCGAAGTTTCATCGCCGACAACTGGTAATTTCGTATTGTGTAAGTTGGGCCGTGTTCTGCATAAATTAGTTAACTCACAGAGAATTGTAAAATGAGTAATGAATGCAATCTGGTTATACCTTGTAACATAATGTTTATTATTCTTTTCACCAACATCATTAAAAAACGTAGTAATTGTTAAATAAAGAAAATGTCTTCACGAAACCGAAAATTTCGGCTCTTAGGCGATTTTCGCAAAAACGTGTTATGTGTGGTTAAACCATAAATACGAATTACAAAACATATCTTACAACGTGGTTTGAAACGATTTAGTTTAAGTACGCTAACACATTATAAACTTTTTTTACAAATGTAAATACTTAAAATTTGGTCCATGATGTGGACGGACAGGAAAATTATATAGATTGTGAAAGGATTGAGCGATTAGAATAAGGGACATTTTACTGCTAAAATAAGAGTTTGGCTAATGGCATACTTTCCGAGATATTTATTGCGAAAAATAAAAATTGTTTTATTTCAATCTAAAAGAAAAGGAACGAAGGCGTATTTGAGTCAAAAAAATTGTGTAGCTGGCTGAGTAGTATATTGATAAGAGATGGTTAGTGTGAAGATGATATTGAACGGGAAGTAACAGTCGAAATCAGGTAAGTGGAGCTCTGTATGTCTTTATTGGTAGCGTGTCAAAACAGTGCGTATTCCAACCCTGATGTACGGTAGTGAGCATTGGGTGTGACAGAAGAAGCATGAAAGTAGGGTTAATAGGGCTGTTGTTGTGAGAGCTTTGAGTAGCGTCTAATTTAATGAATATATAATATATTATATATTAATTATGTATAATAAAAAGAAATCTACAGAATTCTTTAAATGAGTAATGACAAAAAGTAGCCAAAAATGTTTAATGCTCAATATCTCGAAACTGTCATTTTGTAGGTTAACACGTTTATGCAGAACACGGTCCAGTTAATGCTTTACGTTAACCAACTAATGCCAGAAAGATGTATTTAGGGTAAAAATGAAATAATTTATAATTAACCATGTCGTAGTCAAAATAATAGAATTCATCACGATGACACTTTTGTTGTCATAAATATAGTACTAAACTGAATCATAAAGGTTACTATTTCCAAATCAGTACCTAATTAAAACACCTTAATCAGATTAGATTGAATTGGATTTCAAAAAATGTAATAACACTATTACAGATACACTGTTACACCATCTCGAGGAATACTTATCGGAAGAATTGGTGGAAGCGTTCGATAAGTTATCGGCGCTAGGGAAAATTGAAGAGTTTAAACAGTCAGTGCGCGTAGCGGGCGAGCTACGTGAAAGCATTATAACCAATCAGGCCATTATATCTGCCGAACCAAGTGGCAAGATAAGTAGCACCTTAAAAGAAGAGCAGATTCCATTGGCACAGCAGCTGCAGAGCGCACTTTCTGCGCTACAAGTGATGGTTCTTGATCACGCAGAGGAACTTGCGCCCGTGATCGGTGATCAAACTTTACAACGCGTGGCTGCACTCTTCACTCAGCTTCACGAGCAAATTGCAGGCCTACAGGCAGATTTTACTAATTCTGAAAACAAGCACGAAATCCTTAAGGAATTAATTAAGGATGACAAGTCGACTATAAGGACAATACAAGATGATAAATCGAAAGCATTTGATAAATCCGTTACGTTTAAAAATGAAGTAGCTCTTTCAAAAGAGCAGGCTACAGAAACTGTCGTGGAGCCAGTTACGTCATTGGCTACTAAATTGGAAAACGTAATTGTGCTGGAAGCGGAGTCACACCTAAATACTGTTACAAAATTGGAAGACGAAATTAAAGACTCTACAATGACAGATGTTGAAGTCAAAGTTGAAACGCCGACGGGTAATTTCATATTAAGTTACAGCTTTCTATTTAACTTACCACATATAGTTGAATAAGTGAAATGCGGATATAAATGTGGACATTCATAATTAGAAATTAACGTTTCCAAAGTTTGCTACTACTAACACATAATTTTTGTAATAGTGTCAATATTCGTATATGAATTTAATTTGTTTAGTAACATGGGTTTTATATAAATATACACACACACACACACATATACGACCGTATGCATCTGGTACCGTAATTATCATTCATCCAGGGGAGGACTGCCACCTGACTTGTTTTAGCCGCAAAACAGTAAGAGAGCATTACTGCGTTTCGGAAGGGTAAAGGTGCTGGTGAAATTACAGGCACATGGGACTTGTGAATTACCATAATTGCAGATACACTCTTACATCTCGAAAAATACATTTTAATAAAAAAAAATAATCGTTTAGGTTTAGTAAAAAAAAATTAATCACCAGTCACATTGTTGGTTAATTTGTTTTAATTTTCAACTATATAATACAGGTACGTCGAGTAGATCGAGTATGATTTTGCGTTCTTGTACATTTCGTTAACAATATTAAACTCTAGGCAAATGTACTTAAACATTTTTCATATGTCAAAGTTTCATTAAGACAATGTTATTTGAACTGTTACAATTTTTAAAAATTCGCTAATCTGATTCTATTTTGTCACAATATCTAAAAAATAAATACATTTTGTGTGTGTGTGTTAAGTTAGTTTTTTCTTATAAAGGTTGAGGAAGGCTTACTAAGTCGATGTTAAAAGATGTTAATATACTTGCTTTGATGAATTTAAACGTTGTAAACGTTACTGTTTTATATTCTCACTTTTTTTTGTTCCGCTAAATGTGCCCGTGGATGTATTTCACACACGCTTCAATTTACTTTTTGACCATTTAAAACCACACAAAATGCACTATTTCAGATACACTCTTACAGCACCTTGAAGAATATGTATCAGGTGACGTATTGCAAGCACTAGATAGGTTGTCGGTAGAAGCGAACGCTGAAGAGTTGAAACAGTCGGTGCGTATTGCCTGTGAGCTGCGGGAGTGCATTGTGCACAGCCAACACTGTGTGGACACTGAAATTTGTACCGAGCAGGGTAACCACTCGCGATGTGAGCAGATGCAGATAGCGCAGCACCTACAAAACACCTTGACAGCGCTACAGGTACTGGTAAAAGATTGCTCACATGATCTCACTGTGATTAGCGGTAATGCGTTACAGAAAATTGCTAAAGTCGCTGGTGAGCTCCAAGATGACCTTACTTTATTCGTTGCTGTAGTAAAACAAGCAGAGATCGGAAATGAGATCGAGCAAGAACAAGAACGTGTTCGGAAATTGGGCAATGAATACATTAAACAAGAAGATAAAGTAACAATTTCCGAAGAACTAGTTTCCTCTGAAAATGACATAGCAGGTAACAAGCAGGCTATTGAAACCATTGTTCCACTGATGAGCGTTGTGCTTGATGAAGCAGTCAATGTCGAAGCGGAAACTCCTTTTAGAGAAGATAAAGAGGAAAATACAGCCTTAGTTATCGAACAAGATACTTTCATTGAAAACATCTCCTCTGCTGCCAATGAAATAGCCCAATCGACGGATAAAACTATGGCTGCTGATGAACGAGTAGCGGTCAGTGGAGTGGAAGCAGCGAAATTCCAATCAGAGGAATTAGTTCCTCCTAAGACAGTTGATGTACAAGACAACATGAAGAACCTAATCGGCGATGATAAATTAGCAGAATTTGGTGCAGCTGTGGGGACTGAAACTGTTCATGTACAAATTGCTCAATGTGAGGGTGCAGATTTGGCAGTAGCCAGTGAAGTTATTCATAAAGAAGGGGTGATTCCAACTCAAGTTATAGTTGCTGGTATGTTGCACATTTACACAAATAACACTTCGTTAATCTAAGTATTACCATAAGCAATTCGAATACTTTAAAAATAATTGTGTCACCTGCAGCCAACAGTTCCTTGTGAGACTTATCAGGCTATTGGTCTACATTTATTCACAACCAATTTTTTTTGAAAAAATACGTTATTATACTTTACAGATTTAACACATTACACCACACATTTTAATACATACACTTTTGACACCGTATCACTGCAGAGAACAATAACTCCGTGTCTATCTTACTTTATTAATGTAAATTGCAACTTGCTTTAAAAATTTATTATTATTACGTAGTCTGGTTTCACAGCTGTGCGTGCGGTTCGTACGGACTGTCCGCCTGCGGGCCGTCCGCACGCGTAGAATCCGCAGTGTAGAAACCACCGCGTAGAAACCAGCCTTAAAATGTTTGTTTTCAAAATATTCTGCAAGTTTGTTATTGTGTATTTTATGGGTAATTTCTTATGTAACGTGTGGTAATTGTCATATCAATCATAAATTTTTACTTCCTGTGTGTAACATCTAATTAAATCATTCAATATAATAATAATATTTTTTTTACAAAACAAATATAGACTTCAAAAGTTTGCTTATTCGCTTTCATCGTGTTCTTTACTGTAGTCTCCTCCACGATAACTGAAATGCAAAATGAAGTCCTCACCGAAACGAATCATATGAGCCCAAACGCAAAGGTAGCTGCTGTACACTGTTGAGTGTCATCTGTTTGCCATTTCCATCACCTTATTAGCTCTAGGTCACCATAGCAATTGATTTTCTTTCAAATTATATTTATGTGCCGTGCAGGTTTATGGAAATCGGTTAACGGAAAGTGAGTGAAATTCAATAAACCTTATTCGTCCCCAATTTGCCACCATTAGAGGTGGGATATTTTCTTTTAACTTGAACCTCGTTTCCAACAAAAAACAATAATCGAACTCGGTTCACAAATATCAGAGTAATCGCGTGACATGCACTTAAAAAAACGCAATTAAAATAATTCAGAGAAATATTAAAAACAATTGAGAACCGCCTTCTTGTTTTAAGTCGATTAAAAAAAACAACCAATATCCTTTGCTATGTTATGCAATGTTAGCCGCCTGAACCATAAAGCTTTAATGCTTTTATATTTTATTACTTATTTATTTATCTATATGGAAAATAATGTTCTACTGTTTTCAATTTACAGAACAAAGCCTCATAAGACATATAGAAGAATTAATTTCTACCGAAACATTGGAAGCAGTGGACAAATTATCCGCTCTACCCAACTTTGAAGAGCTAAAGGTATCTTTAAACGTTGCAAAAGAATTGCGGGATACCATTGCTGCAATTGAAGTCCTCACTGGTTCTGAGGAAACTGTTGCTGTAGCGGAAGAGGCACGAATCGAACAAGCAAAGCTTGAAAACAAATTGCAGGATATTCTAACTTACGTACAAGTTCTTGCATTTGACACGGTAGAAGAAGTTTCTCCAAGCATCGATCCGGAGCTTATACAAAAAGTTGCAGATTTAGTCACGCATTTGCAAGAAGATTTAATAAGCGCTACAGCTGTTAAAACTGGTATGCATATTGTTCCTCATAATTTGTCGGTACCCTTTTTTTGTGATGATTAATGTATTCGTATTAATTAATTTTTATTGTGACGGGACGATTAAGTCGTGTGCCTAATTTTAAGCGACACGTCTGTCCATAGCAGTTCCAGTGCCACTCAGAGTTTTAAATTGCAAAGATATGAGGGGCACTACCACTGCGCCCGCTACCCTGAGACATAACGTGACAAGTCCATGCGCCTGTAATTTCTCCAACACCCTTCAAAACTGAAACTTAGTAATGCTAACATTATTGCTTGGTGGCAGAAATAGGTAAGGTGGCAGTACTGGACGAACTCTTTCGCGAGGAGCTCTACTGCTACTAAATTTACATATGAAATTTATGCTATTATTTTTAATTTACAGATAGAGTGACATCTGTCACTGAACTGGATTCTATGCAGCGGCTTGAAAGCTTGTTACAAGACGTCAGCGAAAAAATTAATATATCATCAGAAGGCAGGTCTGCTGAAGATAATGAGATCCTACGAGATTCTCTGGAAGAAGTACAAACGGTCATCATTAAGCTCAAGAGAGATACTGATGGTTCTACTGATGACACTCTCAATGAAACTCTTGAGGATTTAGAGTGCAATGTGAGGAGTGTTCAATTACAAATCAATGAAGAAAGCCCCCCGGAACTGTTGCAAGAGGCTTGTGCTACTCTTCAGCTGTTAGCAAAAAATATGACTACAACTCAAGAGGAACAAGCTTACAAAACTGTAGCGAAGGAAACTAAGCCTCAAAACACGCTAGAAAAATGTTCACTTGAGACACAAGAAACAGTAAATCTTTTAGAAGATGCATCTAAGTTTGAAACGAAAGGTCAAAGTCAACTCAATGATATTGTTTCTAATCTTAATAATGTCAAGGATATTCTAAAGACGCTACGTGTAAGCTTTTTAAGTGATGCGGATACACTTATTGAGAAAGGCGTAGAAGTTTCTCAATGTTTGAATCAAATAGAAGACAAGGTATTTTCTTTAGAGAAGGACATCGAATCAGAAGCGAACTTGTCACCTATCATAAAAGAAAACATTTTATTAGCAGTACATTCTGTTTACGGCAGCATCTCTAATATGCGCAGTACTATTTCCAGTATACAAAAACAGTATATGTACGAAAATTATGGAAAACCTTCAGAATTATTTCTTCGATCCATAAAGAATGTTACAACAATATCTCAAGCTGATGAACATGCCATGCATAAATCTGATTGGAAAAAGTTTTCAAAGTCTTTGAGGAACGCGTTGAATCATTTTGAGGATGTTAAATTCTATGTTAATCTTGATAAGACCGCGAGGCTACCAAGTGACGCAGCGTTTACTAAAATTATTTTAGAGGAACTAAAAACCAATATCCGTGAATGTGTGTTACCCCGTGTAGCAGTTATAGATCCTTCACTATCCATAAATGCTCACGTCGCTTTAAATTATATAGATAGCTACCTAGGTTCTATCGAATCCAGACAAACTTTAGAAGTAAAAGAGAAAATTCCAATATTTAAAAATATTGCATCAAAAATTCTTGTGATTACTGAGTCTTTCAAAGATAAAATAGAAGCAAAAGAAACAGGTGCTGAAGAAGACAAAATCGAATCAAATGATGAAAAGATGATCGAAGAAACAAGTAAAAGTAAAGAAATGGAACATCCAACAGATGAGACTGTTCAAAAGAAACAGGAAGAAGTTATGGAATCTAAAGCAAATCTTTTAATAGAGAAAGTAAAAGAGGATGCTGATACCGTGGCTCTACAAAAAGAGGAGGAAAGGGCCAAAGATAGGGGTGAAAATGAAATGCACAAAGCACAGAAAGAGAAATGGGAGTCTGAAGCTAAAAGCAGTGATAAGGAGAAAGAAGTTGAAACAGCATCTACAATAAATAAAGAAGTAAAACTTGAGTCTGATAAAGAACACAATAAAAGTGAAATTGAAAGTAAAAAAGAAGAGGTAGATGAGAGTACTTTAATACGGAAAAAAGAAGCTGAATTGAAAACAAAAAAAGAAATGAATGAGTCTGAACCTAAGAAAGATCAGGCTGAAACTGAAACTCAAGCCAAAGAATTAAATGATGACGCCAAAGAAAAAGAAGAAAATGAAGGGATCGAATCGATTGCAAAAAAAGCTGACAAAGAAATGGCTGATGTGAAGATACGAGAAATAGTTAAACTTGAACACAAGACAGAAATTGAAGATGCTACAGCAACTACGTCAAAAGAAAATACTGAAGCCCGTGCAAAAATAGAAAACGAGAAAGTTGATGCTAAAGTTAGTAAAGACATTAAAAAAGTTGAAAAAAATATTGCTGAAGAAGAAGAAAAGCGAGGTGATATAGAGAAAGAAAGCGACGAAGCTGAAATCAAGATCAAAGTAAAGAAGGAGTCTGAAGGCGAAATCAAATTTGAAAAAGAACAGAAGGACGTTGAAATTAAGGCCAAGAAAGAAAAGGAGGACACTGAAGCTAAAGCCAAACAACAAAAGGAAGAATCTGAAGACACAGTCATTAATGAAAAAGACGAAGCTATAAACGAGGAGAAAGAAACTGAAACCAAAGCCACTAAAGACAAGGAGGACGCTGAAACCAAAGACCATGAAAAAAAGCAAGAGGCAGAAACCGAATTTAAAAAAGAAGAGACTGACGCCAAAGCTTTAGAAGAAGAGGAGGCTGTAGCCGAACACTTTCTTAAAAGTAAAGAGGCTGATGCTAAGGCTAAAGATATGGAAAAAGATCAAGTGAAAGCCGAAAAAGAAAAGGTTCCTGGAGCCAAAGCTTTAGAAGAACAACAGGGGGATGTTGAAATAGCCAAGAAAGCCAAGAAAGAAAAGGAGGACGCTGAAGCTAAAGCCGAACAAGAAAAAGAGAATGAAGCCAAATGTAACCAAGAAAAAGAGGAAAAAGAAGTCGTAGCCCATGCTACAATCGAGAAGGAGAAGGCTGAAACTAAAGTAAAAAAAGAAATAGAGGAGGCTGAGGTTAACATAAAAAAAGAACAGGATGAAGTTGATACAAAAGCCAAGAAAGAAAAAGAAGAAGCTGGAGATACAAGTATTCATGAAAAAGAGGAAGCTGAAATTAAAGCACAGAAAGAAAAAGAAGAAGTTAAAGACAAGGCTGAGAAAGAAATAGAAGTTGCTGAAACCCAAGCCAATATAGAGAAGGAAGAAGCTGAAGCCAAAGTCAAGGAAGAAAAAGCTGATGCCGAAGCTAAAGCTAAAGAAGAAAAGAAAGAAGCTAAAGTAAAAGCAAAAAAAGAAAAGGAGGAAACAGAAGCTAAAGCTAAAAAAGAAAAGGACGATGCTGAGGCTAAAGCGAAAAAAGAAAATGAAGAAACTGAAGCTAAAGCCCAGAAAGAAAAAGAGGATGCAGAAGCCAAGATTAAGAAAGAAAATGAGGAAGTTGAAGCTAGAGCTAAAAAAGAAAAAGAAGAGGCTGAAGTTAAAGTAAAAAAAGAAAAGGAAGAAGTTGACGCTAAGGTTAAAAAGGAAAAAGAGGATGCTGAAGCAAAAGCAACAAAAGAAAAGGAAGAGGCTGAGGCTAATGTGAAAAAAGAAAAGGAAGAAGCTGAGACTAAGGCGAAAAAAGAAAAGGAAGAAGCTGAAGCTAAAGCCCAGAAAGAAAAAGAGGATGCTGAAGCCAAGATTAAGAAAGAAAAGGAGGAAGCTGAAGCTAAAGCTAAAATAGAAAAGGAAACGGCTAAGGCTAAAGCGAATAAAGAAAAGGAAGAAGCTGAAGCTAAAGCCCAGAAAGAAAAAGAGGACGCAGAAACCAAGGTTAAGAAAGAAAAGGAGGAAGCTGATGCCAAGAGTAAGAAAGAAAAAGAGGAAGCTGAAGCCAAAGCTAAAAAAGAAAAGGAAGAAGCTGAAGCTAAAGCGAAAAAAGAAAAAGAAGAAGCTGAAGCTAAAGACCAGAAGGAAAAAGAGGATGTTGAAGCCAAGATTAAGAAAGAAAAGGAGGAAGCTGAAGCTAAAGCTAAAATAGAAAAGGAAACGGCTATAGCTAAAGCGAAAAAAGAAAAGGAAGAAGCTGAAGCCAAAGCCCTGAAAAAAAAAGAGGACGCAGAAGCCAAGATTAAGAAAGAAAAGGAGGAAGCTGATGCCAAGAGTAAGAAAGAAAAAGAGGAAGCTGAAGCCAAAGCTAAAAAAGAAAAGGAAGAAGCTGAAGCTAAAGCGAAAAAAGAAAAAGAAGAAGCTGAAGCTAAAGCCCAGAAGGAAAAAGAGGATGCTGAAGCCAAGATTAAGAAAGAAAAGGAGGAAGCTGAAGCTAAAGCTAAAATAGAAAAGGAAACGGTTGAGGCTAGAGCGAAAAAAGAAAAGGAAGAAGCTGAAGCTAAAGCCCAGAAAGAAAAAGAGGACGCAGAAGCCAAGGTTAAGAAAGAAAAGGAGGAAGCTGATGCCAAGAGTAAGAAAGAAAAAGAGGAAGCTGAAGCCAAAGCTAAAAAAGAAAAGGAAACAGCTGAGGCTAAGGCGAAAAAAGAAAAGGAAGAAGCTGAAGCTAAAGCCCGGAAAGAAAAAGAGGATGCTGAAGCCAAGATCAAGAAAGAAAAGGAGGAAGCTGAAGCTAAAGCTAAAATAGAAAAGGAAATGGCTAAGGCTAAAGTGAAAAAAGAAAAGGAAGAAGATGAAGCTAAAGCCCAGAAAGAAAAAGAAGACGCAGAAGCCAAGGTTAAGAAAGAAAAGGAGGAAG